CTATCATTTTGATAGTGAGGTGCTTCTCAATCCACAACAGCAATAACATCTAGAATGAGGTAATCTAGTAAGTACATGGCTACATCATAAATGTTTTGGGGGTGTAATAATACACACACAGCCAACAAATTATAATACTTAACTCACAATACAGTAGTTAAAATGAAGAGGGATTCTACTTTCAAAAAGGCAACTACACTTGCACTCTGTCACCGACTACATTTAATGAATATCCTTTTAGAGGTAAAAATTAGACATTTAGCATCACATTCACCCTTGCAGTATTTAACATTATATCCAATAACAGACAGTTGTTTAATCTAGTATCATTAATTTTACTACGACTTCCGCCAATTTCAGACGACACAATTTTTAAAGTAGTGGTGTCTAGACATGAGGCAACGATAACCGTTTTCAAGGTATACCGCGGTTTGGAAAAGTCAAGGTTTTTAACCTTTTATGTAATACCATTCATAAGTTGTGTTAGATTTATTTATTTACATTTTTTTTTTTAGGACAACAGTATCTTCAGCAGAAAAAAATATCCAAAGATGACTCTTTAAATTGTAAAGAAATCTGTGTTTTTGAAACTAATGAAGACAGAAGAAGTCAGTAATTACTTTGAACTATTTAGCCTGACATGTTTACTGCTCCAAAATACTATAAAGCTTTCAAAAAATAGAATATATTGTTTTCAAAATGAAAAAAGTTTTAGTTTTTTACCCAGACATTTAAAAAGAACATATTATAAAGCAGTAATCACAATACTGCGATACAGTGAAACCGTGATATTTTTATCCAAGGTTATCATATCCTCAGAATCATATACGGGCCCATGCCTAGTGGTGTCACAGATGTTTTCACATTGCATGACTATCTGGGGCAGCATTTTTTCTGTGCTGTGTTTACACTGCAGGATGGATCGGTGGCATGGGGTTTCACGCTGTATAACTTTAGGAATCGCAGACAATGTTGTCTTGGGCCACAAACAACATCTCACTACCAAACACACGCGAGAAATTACCTGAAAACAATGCAAGGTCAAATAGTATACAGTTTGTTGTCAACTCCATAATGAGAAAAGCATTTAGTGGGGTAGAAAACGTAATTTTTTTTGCTCACCTAGCTTTTGAAGAGAATTAGCAATTTCTCTCAAACTTTTTGTCTTTTTTGACTTGGTTGTGTTATTGCTCAGAAGACACATCAAAAAGACACAGGAGCTTCTGCCAAATATATACTAGTTTTTCCTTTCTTTCTTGAGTCAAAATAGCCCGGGAATAAATGCTTTTAACTTCTCCCCCAACCTCCCGCTGGCCTGTAGATACCCATACTAGTGAATGCTGCTCTCTCATTGGTCTCATTGCTCTCACATTTCACACGGCATGATTTTGATATCGTTGACAGCTCCAGATATTTAGCAAATATCTCATCGATGTTGGCGACTCAGCTGCGATCCTCTCAGGTCGTGTCTTTGATTGTTCAGATGTTATACTCGTGAACGAGTACCCGGCATTTGTCAGCAAGTCAAAATCGGGGCTAAAATCATGCAGTCTTAACTCGGCATTAGTCCCTGATTTATCATTGGTCACCACAGCAGAATGAACCACCAACTACTCTGGCATATGTTTTACACAGCAACCCTTTCAACCGCAACCCAGTAGAGGGAAACAATTCAGTTTCTCCTATGTTATTTCTATATAATTGTAGATGATAAATAACACACAACCCTCATGACCACTGACCAATAAATGCCATTTAAAAAATGCCATTTAATAAAGATCACAAATATTATATAGTTTAAAATGATCCGAAACTGACGTATTCAGTATGACGAAACAAATAACTTGCCACTTAAATCTAGAGTAATAGCTGTTGAAAATTAAACCTTGACATCACCAACATAAATGACATTTGAAAATATATTAAAACAGAAAACAGCTATTTTTAATCAAAAGAATATTTCATTATATTATTGTATATTTGATAAAAAAAAAAGCTTCTCTTATTTTTGAAAAAAGAGAACTTCAAACTTCAGAAAAACTTGTAATTTTGCTGCCATCTCTGACTTATTAAATATAAATACACATACAGTTAAAGTCAGAATTATTAGGCCCCCATTATTATTTATTATTATTATTAAGTTATTGTATAACGATGGTTTGTTCTGTAGACTATCAAAAATAGTTAGCTTAAAGGGGCTAATAATTTTGACCATAAAAAGGGTGTTTAAAAAATTTAAAACTGCTTTCATTCTAGCCGAAATAAAACAAACAAGACTTTCTCCAGAAGAAAAAATATTATCAGACATACTGTGAAAATTTCCTTGCTCTGGTAAGCATCATCTGGCAAACATATGTAAAAAAAAAAAAAAAAAAAAAAAAAACTTAAAGGAGGGCAAATAATTCTGACTTCAACTGTATCTTAAAGGACACCACTATATACAATATATCAACGGAATATATGAGTCCATAATAAGGTGATTCACAGTCAGATCTTAAAGGTTTAGTCACTAACACTAGAAAAGCATATATTTAAAAATTTGCATCAAAAATAAACAACATTCACGATGTGCCTAATGACAAATATGCAAAACGTCCGCATGTAAATTATATTCTCATTTTGAGATTCAAAAGTCAACTGATGAATCATGGCAGGAGTCTTTTTAAAAGGTTAATTCAGTCTAAGTGACACTGCATACATCAGTGAGGAGATAGGAAGAGATGAAAAAGAGCGACAGATTTGCATCCCCACCCCCTCAGACATGCAGGCCACCATCTGGCGCAGGATAAGCAGAAAGAGGTGACCAGAACACTCTTCAGCCACATGCCACTTTAGCAGAGGATGATCTCTAGCATGCAAACCAAACAGCCTGTTAGCTTTAAAGACCATTATTAAACACATGATCAGAAGGAGATCTGGGCTGCTTGACACGTTGTCATGTTACATCGGCTGCTGATTTAAAACTGCACATTAATGCAAATTTCTAATCAGCTAATAGCACGGCAGCAACTCGATGCACTTAGGCATTTAGACATGGTCAAGACGATCTGCTGCAGTTCAAACCGAGCATCGGAATGGGGAAGAAAGATGATTTACTGTAAGTGACTTTGAACGTGGCATGGAAGTTGGTGCCATACGGGCTGGTCTGAGGATTTCAGAAACGGCTGATCTACTGGTCTTTAATTTCATGCACAACCATGTCCAGGATGTACAGAGAAAGGTTTGAAAAAGAGAAAATATCCAGCGAGCGACAGTTCTGTGGGCGCAAATGCCTTGTTGATGCCGAAGGTCAGAGGTGAATAGCTAGACTGGTTTGAGCTGATAGAAAGGCAACAGTAATTCAAATAACCTCTCGTTACAACTGAAGTATGCAGAAGAGCATCTCTGAAAGCTGACAGAAGCAGCATCCGGTGTGGTTTTCTGCTGCTGTAGCCCATCCACATCAAGGTTCGACATGTTGTGCACATGTCGAACCTTGATGTGGATGGGCTACAGCAGCAGAAAACCACACCGAATGCCACTTCTGTCAGCTAGGTACAAGAAAAAACTGAGGCTACAATTTGCAAAGGGTCACCAAATCTGGACAGCAAAGATTGGAAAAAAGTTGCCTGTTCTGATGAGTCTCGATTTCTGCTGTGATATTTAGATGGTAGGGTCAGAATTTGGCATAAACAACATGAAAGCATGGATCCATCCTGCCTTGTCTCAACTGTTCAGGCTGGTGGTGTTGCTGTAATGGTGTGGGGGATATGTTCTTGGCACTCTTTAGGCCCGTTAGAACCAATTGAGCATCGTGTCAACCCCACAGCCTACCCGAGTATTGTTGCTGACCATGTCCATTCTTTATGACCACATTGTACTCCTCTTCTGATGGCTACTTCCAGAAGGATAACGCACCATGTCATAAAGCGCAAATCATTTCAGACTGGTTTCTTGAACATGAAAATGAGTTCACTGTTCTCAAATGGCCTCAACTGTTACCAGATCTCAATCAAATGGAGCGCCATTAGGATGTGATGGAACGGGAGATTCACATCATGGATGGCAGCCGACAAATCTACAGCAAATTCATGATGCTATCATGTCAATCTGGACCAAAATCTCTGAGGAATATTTCCAGAACCTTGTTGAATCTATGCCATGATATAGTGCCCAGCATAAATTGAGTACAAATTCCCTTTCAAATGTATATTTACTATGGGAATGCTATACAATGAGATATATGTGTATATAAGCATTACATTAGTCAGTACCAGAACTAAATTTAACACAAAAAACTAAAGATCACGGTGCAAAAATTATACACGTGTGCAAAAAATAATAAATAACATTTATAATAAGACGTAAAACCAAGAGATCCATGCAAATATTACATTTAGCTTAATAAATAAACACAATATTGCAAAATAGATATATAGATTTGATATATAAAATATATTGCATTTGTAAAAGTTATATTATTTGCATTAAAAATTACATTACAATAACCTTTTAAAGTTCTTACATTTTTTTAAAGTAATTATTAGTCATTTGATGATTTAATAACAATGCCGAAAATCTAAATAATAGAAATACTACTACTACATTGTTGCGAAAATTCCTATTTAATAACTTGATTGATTTTGCAAAGATTATTCTTAGTTTTTTTACATTGCCAATTATATTAACATGAATAATAATAATTAATGCAGCAAAAAACAGTCACATTCACCTTGTACTGCTTAGTGAACAAAAACCTGGATGTCTTTCCCACTCTACTAGCCAAGCTCACACAATCACACTGTCAAGGCCTTTGAGAGCATCCAAGCTCTACTCTGACTCAGCATGTGCTGTGTGGACGTGAAGACAGAACCCCCCCCCCCCCCTCCTCCAAACGGGCAGACTCAAAATGTCCTTGTGGATGCAAAACCATGACACTAAAAGGAACCACTTCCCCTTCAATTCCAGTTTTTCTTTAGATTATATTTATGAGAAATGTGAGATATTTCGAGGGGTCTTACCTTTTATCTCAATGGTGGCATTTGCTTGAGGGGCCGAATCAAACGTGTACACGCACATATACTCGCCTGCATCATCTGCCTTTGGTTTAGTAAGCCTGTGCAAAAAAATAAATAAATAAAAAAGGCCCCATAGGATTGTGTGTTTTGTACAAAACAAATGTGTTGTTATTCAGTACATTGAATCAGCATAATTTAGAATAAAACCCATAGGTTAGGACAAAACTAATGCAGGTTAAATGTTAGCAGTCCTAGTGTGCCTGTATGTTTAGTCTGATTAGATTAGGAGTTAGGGAAAGAGATTAATGACACGTGTTGTTTGAGCCAGTGGCCTCACACATGATTTAGACCAACACAGAGCAAAGCAGCATCAACAGAGTCACTGAGATAATGTTTATAAAAAATGGCCAACTAAGGTAATGAAAATGACTATATGATGACCATTTTTATAGCTAGAAGCTTACGCTGATATTTTGATCTGGCAATGAGTGCAATTAAAATAAGAGCAATCAAATGTCCTTCAATCATTAAATAAACTGTTATTTAAAAACTGTAAATAATAAGTTTTGTCTAGTCTCCCATCCAATTTCTCTCACCCTTTACACTTTTATGCTTCTCAGTATGCTCACACACAATACAGTCCCTGACAAAAGTCTTGTCGCTTATCTAATTTGTAGAAACACCTGCTATTAACCTGACTTTTATTTAATACATTGGTGTTAGGAAGAGTTCATATGAAGAGCTAAAACCCTCCCAAATTATGTTTAATGCACTGAAATAAATTAGTTTCACTAAAACAAGATTTATCATTTAATCAAAACAGAAAGGTCAAATTTTGGCAAGACAAAAGTTCTGTCGCCTGTTTGAAAATCAAACAAATTTACTGCAAATACAATAATATGTCAGCAAATTAAGTAGTGGTGCTGTGAGATCCACATTTAATATCTTGTATGACTTCCATGAGCTTGAAGAACTGCATCCATGCGTTTAGGCAAGGATTTATACAATTTATTGATGAAGTCATCAGGAATAGCAAAGAAAGCAGGCTTGCATGCCTCCCAGAGTTCATCAATATTCTTTGGTTTCGTTTTCCATGCTTCCTCTTTCATCCTACCCCACATGTGCTCAATGATGTTCATGTCTGGTGACTGGGCTGACCAATCCTGGAGCATCTTGATCTCCTTCGCCTTGTGGAACTTTGATGTGGAGATGGAAGTATGCGATAGAGCACAATCCTGCTGCAGAATTTGGCCTTTTTTATGGTTGGGAATATAAGAGGTAGCTAAGATTTCTTGGTATTTTAGACTATTGATGTGGCCTTCCTCCCTGCAGATCTCATGCACACCCCCATACTGGATGTAACCCCAGACCATGTTTTTTCCACCACCAAACTTCACTGTTTTCTGGATGAATCTTGGATCCATGTGGGCTCCAGTAGGTCTCCTGCAATATTTGCGGTGGCTGTGGTGTAATTCAACAGAAGATTCATCTGAAAAATCCACCTTCTGCCACTTTTCCAGTGTCCATCCATTTAGCAGGCAGTGGGCCTTGGCAAATGCCACACGGTTTTTCAATTGTCTTTTGTTTAGTACTGGCTTCTGGGCACTGATTTGGCCATGGAGGCCATTTCGAGACAGAATACGACAAACTGTTCTGGTTGACACAGGGACTTCAGGTGACCAGGTCTCGTGGAGCTCTGCAGCAGTGGAAAATGGGCTGGCCTTAGATTTTGGAGCCAACAAACGGTCCTCTCGAGCAGTTATCTTGAGGCGTCTGCCTGACCTGGGCTTTTAAAAAACATCTCCAGTCTCTTCAAGTCTTTTTTTTATCCTCTGTACTTGACGCTGAAACACTTCGAAGGTTTCTGCCACATCAGCAGTGGATCTGGTTTTCAGCCTCTTGATAATCAAGACTAGTCTCATGGTGAAACTTAGGCATTTTTGCAGAGGTCTAGTTGCATTTGATGTGAAGGACTAGTGTACTGGGGTTCTTTTTATACACACCTGAGACCTAATTGGTCCATTATTAGTCACAAGTGAAGCTCATATGACAAGGCGACAACACTTATGTCTTCACAAAAATGGACTCAATGGGCTTTACAAAGCTGGGAATATTAGAATACTTTCTGACAGTTTCGTTTTGCACTGAAACATTATTACAAAAGCTGTTGGGATTAAAACGTGCCATTTCTTGAAAAGAAATCTTCATTAGAAATATATTTCAGTGACACTTCAAGTCACTTTGTACACAAGCGACAGGACTTTTGTCAGGGACTGTAGACTAATCAACCGCACACTTTACTGACTTTACTGTTCCGTCAAGCCATTCTGGTTTGTAATTTCAATAGTCATGTCAAAGCAGTCAGTAAATCAGCATACTATCATCTCAAAAACATAGCAAGAATCAGATGCTTTGTTTCTAGTGAAGATTTAGAAAAACTTGTTCATGCTTTTATCAGCAGCAGGTTGGATTACTGTAATGGACTCCTCACTGGTCTTCCTAAAAAGACAGTCAGACAGTTGCAGCTCATCCAGAACGCTGCAGCCAGAATTCTAACCAGAACCAGAAAATCAGAGCACATCACACCTGTCCTCAGGTCTTTACACTGGCTGCCAGTTACATTCAGAATAGATTTTAAAGTATGATTACTGGTCTATAAATCACAAAATGGCCTAGGACCTAAATACATCACAGATATGCTCACTGAATACAAACCTAACAGATCACTCAGATCTTTAGGATCATATAAACTAGAAGTTCCAAGAGCTCAGTCAAAGCAGGGTGAATCGGGTTTTAGCCACTACGCCCCTCGCTGCTGGAATCAGCTTCCAGAAATGATCAGATGTGCTCCAACATTAGGCACATTCAAATCAAGACTGAAAACACATCTGTTTAGCTGTGCCTTTACTGAATGAGCACTGTGCTGCGTCCGACAGATCGCACTATCATGTTTTTCTCTTCTTCTTCATTCTTTTATATCACATTTTACCTGTTTTTATGTTTTGTTTTGTTTTGTTTTTACGCATTTTTATTATTTGTTTTTATTTTAATTTTACTCGTTTCTTTTATTCTTGTTTATGTAAAGCACTTTGAATTGCCAATGTGTATAAAATGTGCTATATAAATAAACTTGCCTTGCCTTGCCTAATCTAACAGAGTCCACCAGGCTCGTTTGCGCCTGTTTCACACCGCAAGCGAAAGCAGTGCATGAGCAGAGCGTGCGCAGCGCGTATGTCGAGCAGAAGCAGCACGCAGGCGTTTGCCTTTCACACCAGCTGCGTCTGCAGCGCGCAGCTCTTCGGAAGCTGCTGCAGAGATCAACCTATGTGTCTCTATATACAAATACACTTTTTAAACTTTTCATCTGCACCAAGGCCCGCGGCAACTTCCTCCTATGCTGTTTCTTTAACCTGCAAATCTTTATTTTACAAATTTTATAGATCAAATAGTACTGTATGCTTCTCAAGCTCTATGAGAAGTGTCTACAGAAGTCAATCGCCTGTGATATCATGTCATTTGTTTTTTTAATGTAAGGTAGCTGTAGGCCTAGTTATAATATTTATACAATATAATTATAATGATATTTATACATGATCAAACTAGTGTTACTTTCTCCGCTTCAGTGATGTCCAGCGGCAGAATAACAGCTCGTTAATGCATGCTCGTGCAGAGGATGAGACGGACAAAAGAAATTAATGCATGCCCTTCTTTTATTTATTTTCGTGTTGTCAGATTCACAGTGCAAACAGCTCCCGGTAGGAATAACTTGAGTGAACATAAAACAAAGCCGAATAAAACTTTCTTCCTCTGCTTGAGCTGCACAGCACACAGCGAGCTCACATCATCCAGCATGCGTGTCGAACTACACTACCCACAATACACTTGCTATGGACTACAAGTCCCCTACATATTCTATTTCCCCTCTCCTGAAACACTAGCGTGAAGCTTAAGCAAAACTGATGCTAAAATTGTTTTACATTTGATTTTGTAGTTCGGGCCTAAATAAATGTTTGTTGCCGATTTTAATCGTTTAAGTTCATTTGATTGACTATATATAAATCAGTTGACATTATTAACGCATTTATTGGGTAAAATCGCTACTTTTTACTGTCATTCATTGTGTTTTGGTCATTATCAATGCGCTGTCACTTTAATTGAGCATAAGCTCAAAACTATCTCTGCACTGCTGCTTCAGCGCTCACGCCTCGCGTTGACACGCTGCTGCTGCGTGCGGTATGAAAGCTCTAAACTGTTAACATGTACGCCGAAAAAACACGCGATGCTTACGCTTTGCTCACGCGCTGCTGACACTTGCGGTGTGAAACAGCCGTTATACTCCTGGGTCTACCTTGGTCAGGAATTACCCTGGTTTTGCCACAGACTTCACCTTAGTCTTTCAATCCATTGGTACCACCTTACCTCCCCATATAGCAAAATTTCTCTGGCCCAGCTCTGGCCCACACAATCAGGTTTTGCTTGGCCCACATGCCGCGGTGAATTACGGTACATGACTGGACCAAATCTGGCTTCCAGACAAGGGCCAAAAACAGACCATATCTGGGCCAAGTCTCAGCCAAGTTAATAACTCATAACTGGGCCTGAACTGGGCCAGTAAGGTTGGTGTGTCACGATTGCAATGAAATTAATAAACCTATGAAGCGTTGCGCTTTAGGCACACTATGGGCCTTGTTTTTTCTCAGTGGCCTGATTGGTAGAATTGATTTATTTAATCAAAAATTATTTTTATATATTTTAAATGTGGGTCAAGACTGGCCAAACTCACGTGGCCCACAATCAATTTTAAAAATCTGGGCCAAATACTACGTTTTACATCTGGCCCAAATCTTGTGTGCCGCATTATAGACGGTGCCACCTCTGCCAAGCCCAGGCCATGGTTGTCCCACATGCTGTATGCCAGTGCCGGATGAATGCCTGATGTCCCAGCTTTATGCCAAATCTGGGCCAGAATTCTTTGCTACTAGGGTCTTTTTTTCCTTGGTTTAATAATCCCACATGGTCCACCACGTCCCCTTGTACTTCTGGTTCCATTTTGGTCATATCAGTTGGTCAAAGCTTTGGCACCACCTTGGCGTCTTGCTCCAATGGCTCCACTATGGTTCATAATATAACAGTCCACTCTGTTATTGATTATGTCTTATACGCCTGGTTCTACCTTGGTCTAGAACTACCATGGTTTTCCATGGACTTCATATCAATATGTCAACCCTTCTCTCTTTATCATCCATGGTTATCCATCAAACAGAGGCTCTCCCAAGCTCCCACCTCCATCTGCTTCCAACTTGGTTAGGAATCCAACCGAGGTTTTGCCAGACTTCACCTTAGTCTTTCAATCTATTGGTACCAACTTGGCTTCTTTCTCCCTTGGTTAGTAATCCCACAGGTTCAACCAGGTTCCCTCGTACTTCTGGATTTCACCTTGGTCAGGAATGATCCTGGTTTTGCCAGGTCTGTCAAGCCTTTGATACTGCCTTGTCTCCTTGCTCCATTGGGTTCACTATGGTTTGTATTCCAGCAGGGACAACAATGCTCCCTGCTGCCACTATAGTTAATAATCACACAGGGTTCTCCAGGTTCCCTTGTACTTCTGGTTCCACCTTGGTCAGGAATCAAACTGATTTTGCCACAAATTTCATATCCCCTTTAGATCCACAATGGTTAACCCTCAAACAGAGGCTCTGCCAGCCTTCCTCATCCCACTGGCTCCACCTTGGTCAGGAATCAGCTTGGGTTTGCCACAGACGTCTATGCATTCCAATCTTTTGGCTCCACCAGGTTTCTCCATAAACAAGTAGTTTATTACATAACAAAAAAGACTCATGGTGGCTTCTAACACAGCAAATTTAGTTTTGCTTTCTGGTATTTGGTGCAAGTTTATCAGTAAGTGTTAACAGTTATGTTCTCTTGGAATCTTCTATATGATATTCCAATTTTGTGGATGGGTTTAATTTGCATCTTTGGATGGACAGCTCTTGTCACTCTCACCCTGACTCTTCTGGTCCAGATGGTTGAATGATTTGGTTCTGCCTGTACTGTTCAGAATTCAAGCTCCTTGGTGCCACCCTGTCTGCTTCCTCTTCACTGGTTCCATTATGGCCTCTCAAAGCTCCTTTAGCACCCTAGCTTTTCCCTTCTACTTCTCTCTAGCTTTAAAAAAAGCTAATTTGTCCATGATGGCTGCATCCAACATCCTGGTCTTGCTTCAGGTCTCCTGATCCTCAGCTCAGCCAAGGTGCTCAGGTCTCTTTGCTCACCATCATTACTCCCACCCTCTTCCAGTTGCTCACACTCAGTGGACTAATTACCTTCACTCGTTGACGGTTTCCACCTCTTCAAGCACTGCGCAAAGGCCCTGCCATCACCACAGCTCAGTCTGTTGTTGTCACCATCACTATGGTTGCATCATTTAGGACCTCTGAGAGTCTAACTTATTACTGCATTACTAAATGTATTTGATTTCATTTTAATAGGATGTTATTTATGACTGCATTAATTAACAAGTGACATATAATTATTTAAATTACAATACTGTATGTAAAATATGCATATAAAGATGTATAAAATGATCAAGCTTATTAAGCAAATGCTTTGTTTTTTAATGGTCATAAACAATATACTACTGTTCCTGCAAGTCACTTAAATTGTACATTTAGTTAGTTTAATTTATTATTTGTTTTTATTTATTATTTATTTTTATTTCTTATTTAACAGTGCACATAAACCATCTGGATGAACATATAAAATTAAATCATTTTTACTGTGTACTTTACTTTCCACTAATTTAATGTCTTTCTGTCTTCTTGTGTTGATATGCATGCATGCACCCTGAGCTCCAGTAAACCACAAAATCATCCCTTCTGTGTTTGCACATAAAGCTCATTCTGATTATGATAAAAAAAAAAAGCTCACAAATCGCTTAATAACAATGCTTACTTGTACTCTGTGTTTTTGGTTTTGTCCCTTGTGTCCATGATCTCCTCTCCATTCTTCATCCAGAAGCTCTCACGGTGGCTGCTTTGGGAAGCTGTGAGATTGCACTGAAGGGTGATTGAGCTGCTGGAACCCATGGTTAGAATCATATGTTCCGATGAATCAATGGATGGTTCTGAAAATACAAATGCAATAGTCAAATACTACATCACACTGATTGAAGTTAACATGGAATCCTTCTCCCCCTGTTTTTGGGCTTATGTGTGTAGAAATCAGGAGGAAATACGGGGATAAAGATGGACAAATTTCAACAAGCATAGCAGTCACTGAGCTTTTTCAAGCAATCAAGTAGTGCTTGCAACAAGTAAACATTGTGTTTATTTTTATTTTTTTGCTTTGTTCACAGGTATTCCTAATATTTATATGCAGTTTTAAAATTCCCATTAGGTAACATTAGATAATACTAGGGTTTGCTAGTTTTATTAGTACTAATAATGAGTACATTTTAAATGCAAGTTGATGCATCTTTTAAAGACAAGATGGAAAATTTTTGGGCATGATGAATATTTTAATCCTCAAGTTATATATGAGAATTGTGTCCTTAACTCATTTTTTTGTTTCCACATTATGAATTGCTCCCCCCCTGGTTGGAGATATAGAGTCCCTAAGTGTAGGTTGAACCGATATAAGAAATCTTTTGTACCAGTTTCACCAGATGACTTTAATAGCTATATTTGGAAGGAAATCACTCATTTAGATTGATTGGGATGATTTTGTAGGGGAGTGAATCCTGCATAAAATATATTTATTATTAAAAATTACAAGGATTTATTAATACAAGAGCAAAGACAAAGGTGAAATAAACAATGCTTCAATGGTTTTCTGGAGAGTCAAACAGTATTCAGATAGACAAGCTGAATAATTAAATGCAATGTAAAATAACACTCTAATATGTTTGGACTTCAGCTACAGTTTGGATCCATTGTCTTTGATTTTAGGTCTCCTGATTGGCACAATATTGTTAGGGAAATGATTCCCCTAGAATTCTTTACCCATATCAATCATATATTTGCTGAGGCTTTTCATCAAGTCGGGACTCCTTACTTGGATTTTAATGATGTTTCTTCAAGCTGTATTTTGAGTTATGGTATATCATAATTGAATAGATGTATTTTATTTTACTATTAGTTTATCTCTATATATTTTCATTTTGTTTATTTATTTACTTTCATTTTAATTATCATCATCATCATCATCATCATCATTACTGTTATTACTATTAATGGTAATTATAAAAGCAGTAAGGACTGAAAATTTTAATAAATATTTAACAATTTAACCATTTCTTTACATTTAATAAATGCTGCCTGATTAAAATAATAATTAAAAAAAAATTCATGTTTTATAAAGAAAATTATTATGTTCATCAAGGTGGCATTTATGAAATTACTATTCATTTATTATATTACCATTAATAAGAATAATAATAATAATTAAAATATGAGTGATTTCTGAAGGATCGTGTGACTCTGAAGATTAAAGTAATGAAGCTGAAAATTCTGCATTAAAATCACTAAAATAAATTATTAAATTAAATTATAAACGACTTTTGAAAAGTTATTTTATAATGCAATGAGATTTTTACAATTTTTACTGTTTTTTTAATTTAAAAAATGCAGCCTTGGTGAGCAGGATAAGCTCATTTTAAAACATTTCAAAATCATACTGACCACAAACTTTTGACCGGTAGTGTATATATTTTACTCTGTCTTTCTTTAGCATTGCATTATTAATGGGCATTGTCTGTTTGTTTCAATGTGTTTTGTAATTAATAGTTAAAATGTTTTAAAAAACAAAGATGCAATAAAATAATTGTAAAAAATAATTCTTTATGTTGCTGTTGTAATGTTGTAATTTGTTGTGCCTAATTGCTTTAAACCAGAGAAGCCCCAAGTAGGGCAAGCGGGCCAAAGTTGGCCCATGGTAATCTTTGTTTTGGCCTGCAATCCCATCCGACAAGAATTAGAACGAAGGTTGCATCAAATGCCTTCAACAGAGATCATCAATTCTAATTTAAAGTAACATTTTCTTTGTTTATTTGTTTGTTTAATTTTTGAGCTACAAAAAAGTCAACTTAAATGAAATGTTTCAGTTAAATGGTACAGATTTTTGTAAAAATGTAAGAACTTTCACTTGAAGATAGAGGACAAAATACAAAACATTGACAAGCATATCAGGGCAAAGGCTGGTTCAGCTTGACTCCTCGTGTATTCAGCATTGAACAACATTGTGTTATAAATGGGTTTGTTTATGTTTTATTGTAATAGGTTTATCATTAAAAAAATTACAGCCATTAATATGATTGAAGTATTGTTTTTTTTTTTAATATTAATAAATTAGGAAATAACCATGGCAGCTTTAATGCAATAGTTTGGAACATTTGCCTTTGGCCTACCCTCCTAAATCAAGTTTGGTTTTTGGCCCTTCATAAGAAAAAGTTTTGGCACCCCTACTTTAAAATGAATTATATAAAGCAGTCCAAATTTTTATTATTTTTATGGATAACCGTTATCTACAGTATCTTACCTGATTCCATGACTTCCTTGGAACAGAACCTGTAATATTGTCATGGTCAACGACAGGAAAGCAACCTTGAAACATCTCAATAAGGAGGACAAGGACAGTTTACACTCAATAAGGGCTTTCTGGCTAAAAGAAATAGGTCAGTGCTTGGATGTAGTAGCTAGGGCAAGAAAAATCTAAAAAGATGGTGCTCTGGCCATTTCTGTAGTCGGGAAGATCTACTACAGGAAAACAGTGAATGGAAGTAAACTAAAGGAGGGTGAATGGTTTATTTTGGCCACTACTACAAGCACATTTAGCACTCACTCTGCAACACGGTAACCGTTGCCTGGGCTCGTATCCAGGTAGTAGATGGATTCTGGCGTAAATCGTTACGCCGTGGGTCGTTACTGGCTCTGCATTCATAAATCCCAGAATCCTCAAGGTTGACGCGAGTGATAGCTAAAACGCTTACTCCGTTGTTGCCGTATGCTGTGTTGATAGACACGCGTTGCCTGCGCGCGCCATCCCACAACTGGAAGAAGTTGTCGGCTCTGTTCACCTCTGCGTACCACCATTGGATCTCAGGTGTGGGTTTACCCACAACATCACAGTACAGCTCGAATGTGTCGCCTGTCAACTTAGTCTCAGAGAGGGGCGACTTCACAAAGCCCGCTGAGGGGCGGCATATAGACACAAGACAGGAAAATGGGGAAAATTAAGAGATGGCGGAAGAAGAAAAAAGGAGAGCGAAAGGGTAGTGGGTGGAAGAAAGAAAACAAAAGATTAAGAACAAATTATAAACCAAGAATGTGAGAAGAAAAAAAAGAATGAAAAATTGATCAATAAGAATAAACACAAAATAATAATGGTAGACCAAATGATTTTTTTGTTTACATTTTGTATGTTAATTAATCTTATTCTTAATTCGTCCTAGTTGTTTTTCCTGTTTAATTGTTCACTAGTTATTGCAATATAATAGCCCAGCAAGTGTTTTCTGTTTTTAAAAGATGTCTTATAGATGTCTAAAAGATGGCTAAAACAAGGCTAAATTTGGGCTGTTATTGAAAATCTAAAAGACATCTAAGAATACTCCAAAACTAGACTAGTCATCAAATAAACAAAAATGAATGACTACACATATAAAGTCAGTCTAATCTGTCTATTTGATGATTAGTCTAGTTTTGGGCTATTCTTAGATGTCTATTAGATTTTGGTCATTGTCTGGTGTTTTATGTCCACATGAACCACAGACTGCAGACTTTCCGTTCAGTGTGATGATGTATTTCCAACTGAAATTAAATATTGATTAAGAGACATGGTTTTGTTTGAGTGTACCCACTCTCATCTTTCACTCGCAGCAAATCAGGCCTGGGCCAATAAAGATATTATATGAATTCACTATAAGAATTTATGTCAATAACAATGATAAGTTCTGGACTTTTTTTTTAAACTCTATATTCATCTAAGAGACAATCACACAGCAGAAATGTGCAACAATTGGAGTTTTGAGATGTACCGATTGTTGGGCCACCGACAAATTAATTGGCCAAAAATGTCATGCCATTTTATGGACCCTCTAATTTTTGTGGCTTCAGTCATTGTTGGGGTACTCTTTTAAATCTGATAGCATAACAGCTTCTATCGAAATATATATCATTGTCGTGTAATATGGAAAAATCGGCATCAAACTTAGTGGCTTCTACAGTAGGCAATGGCTGCATCTCCTCAACAATAAAAGCAATAACCATTTTCTTGAATTTAGTCGAATAAATTGTTTCACCTGGAGAACGTAAACCGATGTCATTTTTTTATTTAGCTAGGGGTATTCGCTGTCGTGTTTCTTGCAGTTGACAAGAGCATTACTTACACATAATCAACATTTAATGACAATCCACTTCTTTGCTTTGATGAGTTCAGATGAACAAAAATTCATTGCAAAAATGCAAGTCTCCGGGCTGCCATTGTTTCTGTTTCTGACTGTCTGTAGTGATGACGGGCGATTTGCAAATGAATCGTTTATTTTAACGAGATCTTCTAAGTGAACCGGTCCAACCAGCTCACCAAACTGAGTTGGCATGAAATTATTGCGTCTTTAGTAGACTATACTTTATACCTTACATTTTAACATGCCAGATACTCCCTTCTGACTCTAAATAAACCCACATCCTGAGTTATTCAGTTACTAGAACAGAACACCGACTCATCTGTGAAAAAGAAACCTGATAATTATGATGAATGCAAGCCGACTGTATGTACCCTCGCAGCACGGCCTCTCATGAAGTATTTAATTCACCTAAGGCAATTTTTATTCCGCAAAATATTTCATTGAAAGCCAATTAAAGCAAGGTAAAATTGCATGCAACTTGCGTTACATTTTTCTAAAAGTAACTCAAATGTTATGACTTTTTTTTTACTTTACTCGTTACTTTAAAAAAGTAATATTACGTAATATAGGTTACTTATAACGTGTTACCCTCAACATAGAGTCTCCTTAAATCAATGAAAGCAGTTAAATTCTCTCTTTGTTGAGCAACCACTATAAGGTTTACCAGAGTTTTTTCTTCTTGCGTTTTGTGGTATTTTGTGCAGCTGGCATGAGGACATTTACTA